AGTCTCCTTAAGTCATTAAACCTCGTCATTCACACGGTAATGGAATCAGCCCTTGTCCTAGTTAGTCCCAACACCAAGCTACGTTAATCTCGCCAAAGTGCTCGACTCGTCCAACACCGTGACAGGAACTTGCGGCCCTGACACAATTTTCTATTCCTAACTAATCCTTCAGTCAGTTTTCAAGGGATTGTTTTAAAATTTGGAATATTTTTTTTATGACATGAAGATTTGAGTATTGTACTGTAGAGCATATGACTCCTTTCATTAGTTATAAGTACTGTACTGCATTTGGCTATATTAACTATCTTTGTGGTGTCCTTGGCTATAACTACTATCTCCTAGGGCTATCGTGGCTATATTTTACTAAGCTAACTTATATCCTCCAAAGCTATAAATACAACTTACAGAAGGTCTTCCCATCTTTGTATTAAGCTCAGAAGCCAGAAGACTGAGTTTAGCTCCTCTAAAGCTATATAAAGTACCTACAGAGGCTCTCCAAGTCTATAACCTTCAAAAGCAAGATTAACTCTAAATTTAGCTCAGGACAATACTCACCTACAGTAGTGTTTACACATTCTCCCCAACGTGTATTGATGTTACTCGTGTCCGTAATTTATACGTGTGTGTGTGTGTGTGTGTATTAGCTTGACCCTGTGTGTGTGTGTGTGTGTGTGTGTGTGTGTGTGTGTGTGTGGTTGTGTGTGTACATGTGTGTTATGGTGTGTGTGTACATGTGTGTTATGGTGTGTGTGCATGTATATTATGGTGGGGGGGAGGGATGGTCTCATAGCCTCACCCTAATTCTGAGAGATGACGAAGACTTGTGCCTTGAGCGTGGAGGCTGGGGGGGTGGAGGGGAGATGAAAGCTTTCAGCATCCTTTTGAAGACGCCGAGATAATCCTGATCACAAGTGTTCCCCGCTCAGTCTTGTATGCGGCATCTTCCTCACACTGCTCTTTGTGTCTTGACGTGAAGTCTCGCGTAATATAACTTAATTGTTGGGTGTCTACAGTCAGATCACCTGAAGATTAAGACCCCTAGATTGTTTTATTTAAAGACCAACCATCTTAATGTTACCAAAACTAACCTTAGCTGGTCATTTTAACTCACGGAACTGAATGACCGTCAGGCTCAGGAGCAGCTTACTATTGTAGCGTATTTTAACGGTTTATGTATAACAAAACAGCTGGAAGGAATTATATTGTAATAAATTTTGCTAAAACTGTATTATTTTTTAATGTTTTTTTAAGCAGATTTAGATAACGAATTAAGTGAATTTTTGTTTATGGTTAAAAACAATGATAAATGAAGTTATTAATATTGAAGACAAAATATGTATGAATATTATGTGAACTTCAAGAAAGACGGAAATATTTTTATCTTATTACTAAAGACATTATCTCAACATCACTTTGACCTGACGAGAGACGGAACTCGACCGTCAGAAGATTTCACGGCCGAGCGATTAATTACCGTGATAATTAATCTTACCTGACTAATGAAGACTTGTTGTAAAATGTGTCTCGGAGTCTCAAAGGCCCGTTAGTCACTTTTTCCTCAACTGAAGATCTGAGAGCGTAACTGACTGACTCACTTAAATCGACTCAACAAAAAACTGATTCTCAAGAGCTCGTGCAATAGAATCCCCCCCTCCTCCCCTCCCCGGTAAACGCTGGTGATTTCAGAAGGGAGCTAACTGGCTAAGACCAAAGACGGCAGCTAAGATACCGACTAAATATCACAAACCCTGGTGAAAAATTAACCTACACATTTTTGAGAATTTAATATCAAAGTTGTTGAGTTTTACACGTAGCGAATTTTAATAGTTACCCCTCATCCCTCACCCCCTCACACTTTAACCCCCCCTCCCCCCAGCTGGCTGGATACCTGGATTCCCTTTGGTTTAGGAACTTCTTTAACCTCGCTCTGTAAACACCAACCAAACTTTTGTAGGAGTTTTGGCCATGTTGACTACCCGGAAATGTTCGTCTCTACAAAAATGTCCAGATTTTATTTTATTTTTTTCTGTGCATTAGATTCTGTGTGTGTGTGTTGACAGTGCATTGAATTCTCAGGTATTTAATTTAGTTTGAGTTTGAGAATTAGGTGACCGTCCAATGGAAAGTTAAAAGCACAGACAATGAATTATAGTAAAACATCTGATTTTTTAACAACATAGTGATGTAATATTGACTAAAATACAGTAAGTACGTTTGTCATCAAAATGTTAAGTTTGAGATTCAGATAACCATTCAAGTTTCTAAAGTAAAATTATTAATGAATTATAGTAAACATTGATATTTACAGTTCCAATAAATGATTTGATATTAACTAAAATGTTTGTAAATATCAGAATGTTAAATGTTAAAAAAATATAAATAACATTATCTCCGTTAGCCGGAATCCCTCTTAACTGGAACTCTTATTGCCGGAATTGAAATTTTCTCAGAATTTTCCAGAAAATTCCGGGTTTAGGAACGATTTTCCGAGTGGCGCATTTTCTGGAAATTTTGATAAAACTTTTCCAGTATCCAGAACAATTCCAGTGTTGGGGGATTTTTTCCCCTGGTTTGAAAGCGTCATCTCATTACCTGGAAATCTCTCATTCCCAGAAGTGTTCTGCACTACCAATAATGACATAATATTAACAAAAATATTTATAAATAACACCAGAATGTTAAACGTCAAAAAAATATCTTAACTTTACAGCTCCAATAATGACAACATTAACTAAAATGCTTATATCAGAATGTTAACTGGGCCCCAAAATGTCCCTAAACCTCCAGTTATGAGGACCATCAGTGACCTAGAGTTGTGATGAGTGAGAGCAATAGTGAGCCCCTCTTAGGTGTACACTATAGAGGGTCTGGCTGTGATGGGGGAGAGTCCTTTATTGAAAGTGGATATGTGATACTTAAGGTCACAATAGTAGGTCAAAGGTCAAGTACAGTGAAACCTCCACTTAACGGACTACATGGAGAGAAAAGTCCATTATATCAAGAGTCCATTAGATATGAACCTCCTCCATATAACGGATTATTATAGTCCGCTCTACTCCTGAAGTGGGGGAACATATAGACTCAAGGATGATGTTTGTTTTACGAATTAAATCACCCAATACTTGTCATCTTTCCTTCATTATTCCTCTATGTTCATCTCTCAGGTTATGTCGTTCTTGTTTATGTAATGGATACAAAATTTCTGCTGTTTTTTTTTCGAGTTTTGTATAATATTGTCGTTTGTATGTTTATGTATGGGTGGTGGAGGTTGAGAGATATTCATATGAGTTGGGGAGTGAAGGTCGATGGTGGTGCTGGTGGTGGTAGTTCTGGTGATAGTGGGAATATTGATGGTGGTCAAGGTACAATTCATGGTGGTTTTAGTTGTGAAGATAGATGGTGGTGGTGATAGTGCTAGTTGTGGTGTTTTTTTTCACTCACACAATACATACATCGATACACTTAAACACGAGTGAACACACTACTACTACTTTGCTGTCACTGTGAATCGAGTATGACGATCATCCAGCTGTGATACAATGATGTGAGTTATTAGGGATGTCACCTAGGTTGGTGAGTTTTCAGGTGACTAAAGAGACCGATACGGAACCGGCAGCGTCGTTCACATTCGTTGTAGTATCGTGGACAAGAGTTCGCTCCCTGTAGTGAAACTGAGACACGGGAATGAGTCTCCGAACTGACTTACCCTGATTGTTATCTGGTGCGGGTGTGCTGTGCGGGTCGATACTGCTTCAGTTTGGGAAGGAGCGAACTTTTGTCCACGATAGTACATGTGGAGGGCTGCATCTACTGCGGGAGGGGCGGTGGCAGCGTCTTTCCGGCGTTGGCGCTTGTCTGCCTCGGTTTGCAGTCGGGCTAACTCGAAAGCATTGACACCACCTCGTGCAGTGCTCCTCCAAGCATTACAATGTGGAGTAATCGACTCCCAGGTGTGTGTATTTGCATCTGTGTGTATGTATACATATGTGTGTGTGGAGCTTGTAAGGACAACTTTAAACACAGAGACCTCCAGTACACCACTTCGGCTCCCGGAAAATTACTCCACCCCACCCTCACCCACCCACCCGCCTCCCTGTATTTATGAGCCGCCCCACGATTCAGGATTGGGCGTATACCAACCACGGATAAAAAAATAATGATAAATAAAAGAAGCTTGGATAAAGGCAGACGTAGTTATGTACTAGAGATAGAAGGAATGGATAAGGTTAATGGATATTGTATGGTGTAAAGCTTAGGTATTTAAGCAGGTGAAATAAGCTGGGATGTTTTAAGTGAAATAAGCTAAGGGTGTCTAATCAGGTGAAGTAAGCTGGGGTGTCTAGGTGAAATAAGCTGGGATGTCTAATCAGGTGAAATAAGCTGGGATGTCTAATCAGGTGAAATAAGCTGGGGTGTCTAGGTGAAATAAGCTGGGATGTCTAATCAGGTGAAATAAGCTGGGGTGTCTAATCAGGTGAAATAAGCTGGGGTGTCTACGTGAAATAAGCTGGGATGTCTAATCAGGTGAAATAAGCTGGGGTGTCTAATCTTTAAGTGATCCATACATTTTTTCAACTTTCCTTACGAGAATTATTCAACTTACAATCCTTTGAAACTGAGGACCGAGGACTGTGTGAGCTGCTGTGACCACCGCAGCCTGTACTCCCGGGAAATCAAGTGAGGGGCTGTAAAAGGAAGTGATCTGACAGGATGGTAGGATTAATAAGGACTCTTTCATAGGATGTTGTTGTGTAGGTTGGGAGGAGGAGGTGGAGGTAGGTTTGGAGGAGGAGGTGGTAGGTTGGTTGGTTGGGAGGAGGAGGTCGTTGTATAGTGGGGAAGGAAGCTAGGATTGAGAGATACAATGTATGTGTATGTTTTTGAGTGTGTCAGTAAGTTTGTGTGTGTTATGTAAGTCCCTCGTAACACAAGTACCTTTAACACTGGTACTTAATATCACTAGTACCCCATCACACTAACACTGTATCACCCTCCTACAGATGCCCCTGGACCACCTGTAATCACCGGGTACGAGACAGGTGAGGTACTGGTAGCAGGGGAACAGCGCACCTTAATCTGCCAGGTGGTGGGTGGACGCCCTCGACCTTGGGTTACCTGGTACAGACACGGCCGCCCTCTCAACCACGCCTCCACACACATACTCCGCGACCCCGAGGAGTCCTCCAGCACCAACACGGCCTCCACCTCCTCCTCCAGTAGTGAAGGGAGGGCGTGGAAGGGCGTGAGGATAAAGCAGGTAGTGAGAGCAACACAGGAAGAGGATGGAGCCGTGTACGAGTGTCGTGTATCAAGTGATCTGTTACCCAGACCTTTAACAACTAACGTCACCCTCACTGTACACTGTGAGTACTCCACACTGTATGTCTTCCTTGATTATGTACACTACCTTCACTGTACACAGCCTTCACTGTACACTACCTTCACTGTACACTACCTTCACTGTACACTACCTTCACTGTACACTACCTTCACTGTACACTACCTTCACTGTACACAATAATTAAACTCCACTGTATGCAAATCATAATAAATAAAGATTAAAGATCATACAATAATAATTATTTTGATACTAACAATAATATTAATAACAATAACAGCAATCATAACACTAACATAATAATAACAGTAACAATAACATTATAATAACAATAACAATAATAATAACAGTAATAATAAGAGTAATAATAACAGTAATTGGTAAAAGGTTATAATCTGTGTTTACTCTGATACCACCAGACGCTCCGGCCCAGGTGATGGTGTTTGGCCCATCAGTGGTGGCGGCCGGTCAACTCTTCTCTCTCACCTGCCGCACCTCACCTGCCAACCCCCCGGCCACCCTCACCTGGCATCTCCAAGGTCAGTCACCCCCTCACCTACCCTTTGATCACCTAATATTCACCTTTTCATATAATTCAAGGGTAAAATAAGGGTTTTTATGTATGTAAGGGCATATCAATTTGCATCCTGCCATGTGTTTGAATTTTACCTCCATATAGTTCAAAATTCACTCGTGTTTCTATACTGAGAGACTGAGTTATATAGCATATTTTTTTATAGTTGATGGAGTAGTGTAGTTAGTTTGTTAATAAGTGCTTAAAGGCCTTGGTTGTTGATGGTTCACTCATGGCGATGGAGTATTGATGAAACACTCCATTGTGACAGTCCCTTCCAACTTGTTTCTGTTATTTATAAACTGTTTTTGGTAATCTTAGCGCTGGTCCTTGTTTTTAAGTTAAATTTGTAAAGTATTTGAAGTTTGTATTGGGTATAGGAAAGGCTATTTGTAGTCCTGTGTATTACTAATTTATTATTATTTGTAGTAGTAGTAGTAAGTAGTATTGTCATTAACGTGGTATCTTACGTTACCAGGGTCACGGGTATCTACGGGCACAACTGAAGTGAGTGAACATGAAGGAGGTGGGTGGGTGAGCACCTCCCAGCTGGCCAGGACCCAGTTGATGACACAGGCAACAGCGGACTGCCAGGCGACGCACCCAGCCGCCAAACACTCCATCTCTTACACCCATCTTATTGCTGTCATCAGTAAGTGAACGAGGGAGAGAGAACAGGAGGGGGGGAAGTTTGTGAGAGAGGAAGAGGTAGAGAGAGAAGACGATTATTAGTGTATTATTATTATTATTATCTTTACTCTTATTATTAACGCTATTGTAACTTTTGTCGAGGCTAATTACTCTTGATGTTAAAAATTTTGGTGGGATTTAACTTTCACTGTTGCGTCAGGTGTTGATACAGTAAATATTATATGCTGTGAAGGTAATTATATGGCGCTAAATTATTTTCCACGGCCATATATTATAAAAACTTAATTAATTTTTGATTAACGTTAACCATTCATGTGCATTTAATAACCTTTTCGATGTTTTGTATTATGTAAATATAGTACCGGAAAACTGCTGAGTATTTGGTTGAGTTACGTCACCACTATTGTATCACTACCACCACTACCACTGCCTCCTACACTACCACCACTCTACCACCACTACTTTCACAACCACTACCACCAGTATCTTAACAACCAACGTCGTATCTCTCTCTCTCTCCCTTTCTCTCTTCCCTCTCTGTCTCTCTCATTCTATTTTCATATATTTCTATATAAAATCACCTATACTGTACGTGCATTACTTAAGACACCTGTATAGTCCTATTAATATAAAATGTATTACGTGTATGAATATATTACCATGTTGACTACAGTTAATAAATAAATACTCTCGTGTTATGTGGGTCAGAACGCCCAGGATGGCCAGAGGTGGAGGTGGTGGAAGGCGGGGAGGTGAAGGCAGGCGAACAAATGACTGTGTTGTGTACCTCCCGTGGCGGTAATCCTCCACCTACCCTCACGTGAGTATCAGTAGTCCTCACATCATTAATAATCCTTATGGGTGTGATTTGATTTTAGTCATTTTTGGTTTATGTTTTGATTTGGTGACATTGGCTGTTAGGTCACCAGGGATGTAACTACCACACTCAACCAATCAATAGTGGGTGTTCTCTATTCACTGTACCGGATATATAAATAGTCTCTTGACTGCACCGTACCATAACATGTGTACCTGTGTTTGTGTTGGTTAAGTTACGATTCACATGAGCTTACAGTTAATAATGTATCAAATTTTTCCAAGAGTTAACAAGTTTTACTCCAAGAGACTTTTAAAAACCCTGACAGTTTTCTTTACTGATATCTTCTTTAACTTGACGTTGTAACCTCTTAACTGTACTTAGGTGTAATTACTTCCTTTATGGGGTCGTTATGGAAGTTCAGAGGTGACACGACCTTGTTTTTAGAGCTGGGTGTAATGCTTTGTCTGTAGGGTCAAAAATTACACTCTGCTTGTCTGTACGTGTGTGTGTACCACCCAACTTGAGTTCCTCTCTATAGTAAACATGACCCACAGGTTGTTCAAGGCTGGGCAGAAGGTGACGTCGACGGTGGAAGAACGTGAGGATGGGTTGACGAAGGCCCGGGCAGTGCTACAGGTGACTGCAGCTGATAATGGTCAACAACTCACCTGTCACGTCTCCAACCCGGCCACCAGCACGCCCATGGCCGCCCACACCACCATCAACATCCTCTGTGAGTGTCTGATTTTATTTTATTATTGTTATTTTTATCGATATTATTACAGTACGTATTATTATTACAGTACAGGTATTATCATTATCGTCATTATTATTATCATCATCATCATCATTATTAACGTTACCGCCATTATCATAGTAAAAAGTCACAATAAATAACTCCCCAAAACAGTGAAGAAATAATATATAGTAAATAACACGAAAATCCAATGGCTGAGACACAGTAGTTGAGACCTGCAGGATATATTTACCTGGGAGGAATTTATTGTTGATTAACATTCAAGGCTGTTGCAAGTGATCGTGACTCACTGAGAACACCTTCAAGAAATATGTTCCTTAGGGCTTAAATTATTCTGAATTATGTCTTGGTAGTTTTAAGTTACGTATATATAGTTTTACCACGTTTTATATTATACATAGTTTTAATGCATTTTATTATACATAGTTTGCACCACCTTTAGATATACGTAGTTGCACCACACGTGTTGCCAATACTGAACCTGCCAAAGTTATTACACTGCACCGCCAGCCTCAGATCACCAGCTGTTCTTGACGTCATAACAGCTCAGGGAGTCGAAGATTTTCACAAGTTCTTAATTGAAGATATGAGTTTGTACCCTAATGGTTGAGCTTAAATAAATCGTTAAATTAACAAGCGGAATATTTCGTAAGATTAAAATTAACAAGTGGAATATTTCGTAAGATTAAAATTAACAAGTGGAATATTTGCCAAGATTCTATGCGTTAATATTCTTGTGTTAAGTGAGTGTAACTAGTCAAGGTAGAATCTTAATGTAATTTTAATGTTTTTAGAAGTTATTGTTTGTCTTATCTATAACCAATCACGTTTAGTCTCACATATTCACCCAAGAGGAATATTCACATTACGAATCTTTGTGAATCAGGAACCAGGAATCCACTTCGTTTGAGGGAAAAAAATTATATCTACCTTACTTGAAAATCCCTTGTGTGAAACTGTCGCACCAGAGCCATTTCAAGGAACTAAATTGCCTTGAAAACTGTTTTTGTATTTAAGTAGCTGTAATCGTAGCTGTATTCCCACTCACTCCTCTCACAATACCTCCCCACTCACTCTCCTCTCACAATACTCCCCCACTCACCTTACAATACTTCCCCACTCACTTCACCTCTCACAACACCCCCCTCCACCCCACTCTGGCATCCCTCACTCACTCTCCTCTCTCCCACAGTTCCAGCATGGGAGGTATCAGGGTGGGTGAGTCCAGGCAGGGTGGAGGCCGGGGAGGTAGCCACCCTGACCTGTGAGGCCACCTCCAGCGTGCCGCCCTCCACCATCACCTGGCACACCACCGGAGCTCCTCTGGGGGAGGCCACTGTCACCCACTCCCAGGGCCTCTATGGTGGCACTAATACCAGGTAAGTGATGGCACCGGGTTGTGGTGTCAGGCAGGTTATAGCATCAAACCGGTTGTAAAAGCATCAGGTCGGTTATGTCAACAAACTAAAACAAAACAGCTTCATTCACTTTAAATATTTTCCCCCTTAAGCTCTTGTTAATTTAGTTAATGTCTTGACCTTTGTAATGAATCTCCCTGTTAGGAGATGAAGACAACAGCGTAAATATTCATCGTCTCTCAGGAAATTAATCTCTCGAGTCGTTTGATCATTATATAAACATGTTGGGAGGTTCTCACGGCAAGGATGATGACAGTGTAAAATTTCCCGCGTGTTTTGCTGTTTGGTGTTATTTCCCGTGCTTTCTACTCTGTTATTTCCGCGCTTTTTACTGCTTGTGTTATTTCCCACGCATTCTACTGTTATTTCCCGCCCTTTCTACTCGGATTAAGTTTAACATGGATAATTATTACAGAACATCAGTTGAAATATCCATACTTTACAAAGTTTCACCGCTTATAGAGGCCTCTTAAAGGGATCATATCATGGGTTTAAAGTTGCCACAATATTATTTCTGGACCCTGTGTAGGTATGTGTGTAAAGCGGAGAGGTAACTCGACCCCCAACACATGACTTTTTGTACGTGTTTAAGTTCAAAGGTTCATAGTCGGCGTAACACTGAATTATAAGCCCATAGATGTACAGTGGGACATCTCTTGCACACACACACACACACTTACCCTCTCTGGGTGGGCTGTATACTCCTGCCACCATTACCTCTCCTGGGTGGTAATAGGTCCACCAGTAACACAACTACAGTACAGTATAGCACCAACACTAGAACCACTATCAGCAACACTACCACCTCCCAACCCCCACCCACCCACCCCTCCTCTACAGCAGATAACATCAGGGAGGAAAATCTCTACAGACCTAGATTGTGTGACGCCCATAATCCCCGCATTATGTGGGATGGGCGGGGTATCGTTCTGGCATTTAGGAGGTATGAGGCTCCTTGGTGACAGCAGCCGAGTCTTGGGGGTTTTTTGTGGCTTGGGAAACATTTTTTAGAGGGTAGCCGAACCCTTGGATGGGCTTTTGAGGCGAACCTTCAAATTGATGGAATGTTTCTCAAATTTCCTCAACTCACCGAAAAACTTGAGATGTTAAGATCTTTGAAAACTCACTTTATGACGCATGAAGAATGTTCACTCTCCCTAAATTATATTCAGACAGGATTTGTGTAGTCTCCCTTAAGATAACTTTACGAGGCGGAGGGAAATGTCTTCTCCCTTATAAACCTACAGTACCTTAAAGCATCCCTAAACTAATCATTAACGCTTGAGAGGCTTCTATACTTCAAGACACAAGGAAACATTTTACCCAGCCTTAAAACTTACCTAAAGACAAGTTAAAGTTTCAACTTTTCCTTAAAACTTACCTAAAGACAAGTTAAAGTTTCAACTCTTCCTTAAAACTTACCTAAAGACAAGTTAAAGTTTCAACTCTTCCTTAAAACAAAGTAAAGTTCATACCATTCCTTAAAACATCCCTATAAAGTACAGGATAATTTTGTTCCTTCACCAAACTCCTATTGAGGTTTAGGAAATACTTATCCTCCCTAAACTTACCCTAAAATACGAGGAAAAGTATTTATCCTTCCTCAAATATTCCCTAACACATGTAAAAATCCCTATCCTTCTTCAAACTATCCCATAAACAGGAAAATCATCTATCCTTACCAAACCATCACCACACAAAAAAAAAATCGAGCTCCCAACACCCAACTATAGAGCTTTCTACTCCCCTTACATCTGCTACAAAACACATGGGAAATCATCACTGTTATAGTATCCCCTTCCGAGATAAACACGAGGCAAGCAGAGCGTCTCTTTAATACCAGTTTCTCGTAGACTTGGCCGGGGAATATTTTCTTAGGAATGGTCCCTGGCTCACGCTGTAGCATTGGCGTTATGGTCCCTGAACACATTCTTAGGCCGATGGTTTGAGGTATATTATCGTTCTCTGATTTTCCTTTTTTTTTTTTTTTAGTGTTTGTTGGTTTGGTTTCGTTTTTTCGTGTTGGGGGAGCTGTTTATTCATCACAGTTTATGTACACAGCGAGAGAGAGTGAGTGGGGGGTGGGAAGAGAAAGGGAGAAAGAGTACGGAAGAGAAAGAGAGATGAGAGAGAGAGGGGGAGGGGGGAATGGGAGGAGAAAGACAGATGAGAGAGAGTGACACGACACAGGTTTACGAGTGATATTCAGCGCCGTAGTTCTACATCTTGAAAGTTAAAAAGAACTTGTATTCACATGATGTTAAAGGGTTAAATAGCAATTCTCGCTATTTACCTCGGTGGTCTAGTTAATAATAGCAAGTCACGCGCCTCATTAGATAGCAATAGTGGTTAGGCCATTATTCATTACCTTGTTACGTACAGTACATCATTATCCACGTACTGCACATCATTATCCACGTACTGCACATCATTATCCACGTACTGGACATCATTATCCACGTACAGTACATCATTATCCATGTACTGCACATCATTATCCACGTACAGTACATCATTATCCACGTACAGTACATCATTATCCACGTACTGTACATCATTATCCACGTACAGTACATCATTATCCACGTACTGGACATCATCATTATACCACGTACACTGTACACACATTACGTACAGTACATCATTATCCACGTACTCCACGCACATCATTATCCACGTACTGCACATCATTATCCACGTACTGTACATCATTATCCACGTACAGTACATCATTATCCACGTACAGTACATCATTATCCACGTACAGTACATCACCATCACATCATCTCTACCAAACCGTGAAATTCAGTTGAAAGTTGTTAGTCTAATTGATTTTACAGTATTTACATTACAGAGAGGATTTAATTACAGTAACTCGTGATTACAGACGAACAGACAAGACAAATATCCATGCCCCCCCCCATACTGGGCTTGGGTGGGGACTAGGGAGGGGGGGGGGTAAAATGGCCAATTGTTTATAAAAGCCTATACACACTAGAGTAAAATTCAGGTTTTTCCACTTCACTCTGATTTCCCTAAAAGGTGTTTGTTTTTGCTTCACAGTTTTGTTGTTGTAAAGCGCTGTACCCGTTCAGCTGGCCGTGTGTGTTGATGGTTTGGTCACCGTTGGCCGAGGGGTCGCTACAAAAAATCGTGTAGGTCTGTGGATAAACTCTGAGTGCTGTGATTGACCAGACTGTCGGTGTAGCCGGGTGAAGGAATACCTCCACATACATAACATCACACTGTGTAAACATGTAAACAAAACTGAAGTGGGAAATATTTACATTTAGTTCAGTGTTTACATGTCACGAAAACTTCTGAGCCAATTTTAAAGTTCGTAATAATTTATTTTGTTTACTTCTATACTGAAAATACTCAACTGTATGATTTTCATTTCATTTAACACCACCGCATGAGTATATAAGGTTTGTATCATAGCGGAATATTCTCGTTTACCGGTATAATAAAACTTTGTTGTCATTAATTCATCTCTTCCCGTTTCTGTTGGTTTAAGTATTAAGGTAGTTTGAGTAAATGAGAAATATTACCATTGTGTTTCTTGCCAGTATCGATGACTATAGTTACTGGCCTGTGTGCTACGAGAGGCTAGGAAGTAAACCTGACCACGTGTGTTAGTGAGTTGTAAACACTAGGACTCAAATGAGAATATTTTACCTAACTTAGTGTGTAGATATACCACTAGTCTTGATACTGGCTCAATAATCACCATTTTCTCTCTGGAATGTTTAGTGTTATGCTCCTCTCGACTTTACTGTGGCAGAGGGGACTTACCCAAGGACTTGCCTACCATAACTGTCAGCCATATTTCCATTATCTTTCCCATGCGTGCTACAGCCAGGTACTTCCCCGAACAATATTTTGATTTAAGTTTTCCCTCTCTGGTGTGCAGGTCGGAGGTGAGCGTGAGGACCATGGCTGAGGATAACGGGAGGACCTTTACCTGTGAGGCGGAGAATGGCCTGGGTGTCTCCCTGTCCACTAACGTCTCCCTCAACGTCATGCGTGAGTGATGACGTCACCTTGTGTGTTTTGTTTTATCATCGATGTTGCCACCTTATCGTTTCTTTTTTCTATTCAATCGTGATTTTTTTTTCATTCTATTAAGTTAAAACCTCATTGTTGCCATCTTGTCATGTCTGTTCCGCCAGTGTTACCATCGCAATCCTATCGAGTTTTTTATCACTTGCCATTACTGTTTTTTTGTTTTTATTTATGTGGCTTTCGTAGTCATCGACACACACACACACACACACACACACACACACACACACACACACACACACAACCAAACAACTTCACAACACAATACGAATTCTCTCTCTCTCAGCAAATATCCCTAGTATTTATCTGAGAGAGAACCAGAGTTTAAACACACATGAAAGTTTCCCACAATTAGTTGGATAATGGCAAATATTACGTACATGTGTGTGTGTGTGTGTGTGTAAGTAACTTCGTATGAGAGTTTAGTGTAGTCCGGCCTTCGTAACATCATGCTGGACCTCCTCCTTTATTAAACCTGTAAATTTACCTGATTTGCATACTGAAATGTTGTGGTCCAATTAGAGGTGAAGTGTTGTGGGGAGTTTTTTAAGGCTGGTTATGTTAGGTTGGCTTAATGTTTGTCTTTTACTGTTCTGACTGTTGGATTTATTGCCACTAGTCAACGCTATTACCAGCACAGTCACTCCCAGTTCCTACACCCACCCACCACCACTCACCACCACCACTCACCACCCACCACCACAGTCACGGCCAGAGGGTCTCAATAGTCCCCCCAAACTTAAGTCACCTTACAAAGTTTGGTGATGTTCTTAGACCAGATCTCACTCACTCTGATCTGACTTATTGCTACTGTTATCTTCCCTGTATCTCTTCCCCCCTGTCTACCTCCCCTGTCTCCCTCTTCCTTCCTGTCTCTCCTCGGTTCTGTCTCCTCCCTCCATCTTCTCTCCTTCTGTCTCTTTCTCCTTCCTGTCTCTCTTCCATGTCTCTCACCCGTCTCTCCTCTTTTCTGTCTCCCCTCTTCTCTTTTCTTCCTGTCTCTCTTCCCTCCCTTTCTTTAACCTTCCCTCTCTCCCCTGCTTTCTTAATCCCTCCCCTCCCTCTCTCCTCCTCTCTTCTCTCTCCCCTCCTCTCTTCTTTTCTCTCTCTCTCTCCTCCTCTCTTCTTTTCTCTCTCCTCTCTTCTTTTCTCTCTCCTCTCTTCTTTTCTCTCAATCCTCCTCTCTTCTTTTCTCTCTCTCTCTCCTCCTCTCTTCTTTTCTCTCTCCTCTCTTCTTTTCTCTCTCCTCTCTTCTTTTCTCTCTCTCCTCCTCTCTTCTTTTCTCTCTCTTCTCTCAATCCTCCTCTTTTCCCTCCCTCCCTCCCTCATATTGTCTGATCAGTGTCGCCAGCCTGAACCTAATATATTCACCATCATAGATTATCCTCCTAGCAACACAACTAGGTCATCCTCCAAGCAACACAAATAGGTCATCCTCCAAGCAACACAAATAGGTCATCCTCCAAGCAACACAAATAGGTCATCCTCCCAGCCCCCACCATCCTATCTTTCGCTTCCCCAGGCACAAGTTCGCCAGGGGAGGTGAAGGTGTCAGTGACAAGCCAACAGTGGGGGTGAGTGGCAGAAAGGTGTAAGAGCTGGCTGGGTTTTTCTTAGGTTCACGCACCTTTACTGACACACACACACACACACACACACACACACACACACACACACACACCTGCAGTGCCTGTCTGGTGAAGAAATGGGTTGACTGTTTCTGGAGTCGGTGGAAAGAGTTAAAGAAAAATTGTGTGTGTACAGGCGCCAATTTACTTACCAGCAAAAGACGATATTTTTTGTAATTTACTTTTGTTTTAATCTTTCCACTTAGAAAATACAAGACTTTATTAATTTAGTCACTTTACAAAATAAGATCTAGAATTATTTCTACACTTAAAAGAAAAGTCAGATTATATTTTATTAATTTCACACCTAAAAAAATATTATTATTGTTATTTACCCATCAACAATATCATCAAGTTGTTGTTGTTGTTTATCTCGAAATAAAACAATTATGAACATTGTGAAATTAGATTATGGAAACATACGCCATATTTCTGTTTAATAAACGCTTGATTTATTATAACAAACGTGGAGGTGTTGAGGCAGTGCTTTGTTTGTCATCTACCTATTGTATACAGGGTAAACAATGGGAGGGGAGAGTCCTACAGGGTAAACAATGGGAGGGGAGAGTCCTACAGGGGTAAATAATGACAGGGAGCATCCGACAGGGGTAAACAAGGACAGGGGAGAGTCCTTCGGTACAGGGGTAAACAAAGACAGGTGTAAACAATAGCAGAGGAGCGTCCTACAGATGTAAGCAATGGCAGGTGTAAACAATGGTATGAATAGGTGTGAATGGGTACAGGGAAATAGGGATGAGACGGAATAGTTGAGAGGAGTGGTTTAAAGGGGATGATTGATGAGAGAGCATGGCTGATGAGGGGGAATAGTTGAGAGGGGTGGTTTAAAGAGGGCATGGCTGATGAGAGGGCATGGTTGATGAGAGGGCATGGTTGATGAGAGATATGATTGATAAGAAGAAATGACTAATGAATAAAAGGGGAGTAATAATATTAGAAGAAAAACAAAGAAAATAATGAGAGAAAGCTTATTGCATGAAAGAGAGAAAGACGAATAGAATAACAAAGATAAAATAAAGTTCTATATCAAGGGGAAATTAGTACAAGTAAATATACTAAATCGTTGGAGGAACAAGTGTGTTGAGTGCACCAGTGATTGCGTGTGGTAGTGTTATTAGTGAGAGAATGGGTGGGGAAACAGAGGGCGTGTGTGAGGGGAGGAACCATGTGGGTGCTGGGTGTGAGGCGGCAGGGTACACCAGATGTAGATTGTTGATAAAGATGGGATGTGATCCAGCAGAACATATTTTTAATGAGTGAATGATTAGGGAGAATGTATGTGTGTGTAGTTGTAATTTCATATCTCAAATACAAGAGGAAAGTGTAAAGCCTCATAACTACGCCCACTCTTGATGTATTTTAATTCGCTGTTGTTGTTGTTACAGATGGGCCAGTGTGGGTGTGGGCGCCATCAGGTACTCTGGACGTGGTGGAGGACGAGGACCTCACCATCACCGCTCTGGCCGCCGCTAACCCAGGACCTGTGAGGCGAGTCTTGTAAACTACCAGTCCCACCACAATAGCTTTCCCTATGTCAACAAACTTAATTTTTTTAGCTTATAAATATTATGGTTACTACTGAACACATATTGATCAAAATTACCAAACTAACACATAGACAACAAAGGCACAAGGCCGCCATAAACAGGACTTTTAGCATGGTAATCTTAAGAGGATTCTGATGGGTGGGTGTTCAGGTACTCGTGGTGGCGTGGACCAGCTGCCATGGAGGGGGAGTTATCTGATGGAGGCAGTGGGCAGCTGACACTGTTGCGGGTAGATCGTCATATGTCTGGGGACTACACTGTCATTTCCCGGACTTCACACTCTGCAATAAACTCTTCCTTCGTCATCAATGTACAGTGTTAGTGTTTATTTATATGACTTCATATTGCCAGTTGTTTTTAAGTGATTTATATTCTTTCAGTAGGAACTGTGACTTGTCAATAGTTTTAAAACCATAATTATATGTAAGTGTTTTCTTGTCCAATAGAGTACATATGTTCAGTATGACTTGGAACCTTATATCATGTCTGTCAATATCTATTTTTTCGAATCACATAATGAGTAATTAAGGAGCTATTCATTATTTACACTGGTTAGAATATGGGAGTTATTCAGAGCTGACCAACAGATGGTCCTGAGGATGTGTTGGCAGCTGAACGGGTGACAGTAGACGAAGATGGTGCCGCCACAGTGCTGTGTTCTGCTACTGGCAACCCCACACCTAACATTACCTGGACCAAGAACTCTGATAACACCAGGTAAGTTGACAATATTACCTGGAACAGAGACACTGCTACTTGGAGTAGGTAGGTTTGGTTAACTTTGGCTAGGTTAGCATTAGTTTGGTTAATCTTTAAGTGAAATGTGCTGGGGTGTCTAATCTTAAGGGGATTCAGATATTGTTGAAATTCCTTTTGTGGATGACACTAAACTTTATCTCCAACAAATAAAGTACAGTAGTCATTATTTTTACCTCCTTATGCTGTGAGTAATCAATGTTCATATCCAATTACTATTACTTTAATTTTGTATAGGAAGACTTTACGATTTGGGGCAGTTTTCTCAGGTTGGGGACTTAGGAGCCACTAAAACATGTTTATTATTGTACCAAGTCGCACACCTACAGTATGATTGTGTGTGTATCTATAGTATCTTATATCCACAGCTTGTTGACAGTGCTGGCCTCGGGTGTAGGTAAAGCTCGCTTAGTGGTGGAATGGGCATCACGGGCAGACACGGGTATCTACCACTGCCACGCCTACAATATTGTTGCATCATATCCTCCCCTCTCTACGGCCATTGTTGTGACTCGTGAGTAAACATTCATATTTTCACTTATTCCTTCAACACTTGTCCCAATATTTTTTCCTTGCTCCAGTTATTTCTTTCTCTGCCCCTATTCTCTTAATTGTTTTCTATTAATATACTGAAGGCTCATTAGTCTGGTCTGTACAGTCACAGACAAAAGTTCGCTCCCCACTGTGAAACTGAGTCGCAGGAATGAGTCTCTGAACTGACTTGCCCTGACTGTTGTATCTCGTTTGGGGTCGATGCTGTTTCATTTTGGGAAGGAGCGAACTTTTGACGCCGACTGTACATCCAGATTATAATCCTCATCACTACGGGTCCTGTGTCAGTAGTGTACAAGAAGAAACTGCAGTACCTGAAGAAAACCTGTAATATACGGTAGAATTATATGAGCTACACCCTTCTCACCTCCTACCCAAGTGGGATTTGAACTAAGGTTGCATTGGTGAGAGGCAAGTGTGCTATACCACTACAGTATTATAATACTGTACACTTTTTTGATACCTACAACATGCTAACTTACTTTCTTCCCAGTTCTTCAGTTATATCATCTACAGAATCTCCTATAGTACCATCATCTTATCTTCTTTGCTACTTTATTCCCCTATCTGTATTCCCACTTTCTTCCCTGTTCCTATGTTGCTATATTTATCTGTAATTTTTTCATGTTTTTTTTCTTGCTGTTACACTGTTTATCTATATCTCACATAGTGATCTTATTGTACTTTGTAATTCTTTGTATTTTAAACATGGGATCCCAAAATACCCATAATAAACACATTGTCAACATAAACTAAAACAGTCAAACTCTCCCTCATGAGCTCACTAACGTCTCTGCTCAATGATCCTCAGAGGAACCAACTTCAGCCACCACAAACACACAAGAGGAAGAGATGAACAGATCCTGGGCACACATTGGTGGGAGTGGATGGCTGGACTGTCGTGTGAAGGCCGCTCCAGCACCAACCTTCAGGTGGACCACCAGCAACAACCGGGTGGTGTCTAACAGCAAAAAATACTTCATCCATGTTCCTCAGGTATGTTAAAACCTCTCTATGAAATGAAACACAAAGATCAGTGAGAGGGAGAAAAATTTAGTAAGACAACTCACAACAGATATTGAAAATTACACACAAGAAATTATAAACTAAGGTTGGCCAAGAGATACATAACAATACCAGAACTACTGTACTGGTTCCTAAGACTAGAAAATCAATACCTGTCCAGCTTTCTGTAACATACCATAAAGTGGCCTGTGTGCTTAAAAAAAAATTAAACTAAAACTAATGCAGGAGTTCATCATACACCCTTGTACAGTCACTTAAAAAATTATCGTTTTAAAATTGTGTTTAGAAAATGACACAACGGACGAATGATTTTGACAACCCCGCTCAGACAACAAAAGTAAAGATAGTTTAAGAGTGACTATAATATTTACCTTATGATTATTCTAAGACATTTTGCTGTACAATTTCTGTTAGTGAGAGAATTAATCTTCTTTAATCACGAATTTATTATTGTTTTTCCATCAGCTGGTAGACAAGGTGATTGAGTGGTCATCACTTTTAGAAATCAGAAGCATCAGTATCCGTGACTACATCAACTACACCTGTACGGCTCACAACTCTCAGGGGTCGTATGCCATCAACTTCACACTTGGTCCGCCCATCATCCCGGGTATCCCAGATAACTTAAACGTAAGTACAAGAGTAAAATTGGTTCACATGAAGGGTAGCCCCCCCAGCTTGTTTCACAGACCTAACACTAACATGACATAACATAACCTAACACTACTCAAATCTAACCTAATCCTCCCTCCCTAGGTGTTGTTAGGGGGTAAAGTAAGCTAGAGGAGTTAATCTTCACATGTATGGTAAGCTTTCTCCAAGAACTTAAGATTAATTTGAAACATCTTGTTACAGATTGTGACAATGTCCACTAGTGATGCTATTGTAACATGGAGGAAAAATATCCTTGGAGCTCAACCTACAGGCTATACTGTAAGGTACCAGGCGACTGATGCTCAAAACTATGAAGTAAGTTCTCTATGAGCTTTGTTGACTTTGTTGAGTTAAAGATTATTACAGAACTGACAGACTAGAATGGAGCATGAATGATTGGATATTGGTAATTGACACCATTTTCTCTCCTCAGTATGTGGATGTTCCTGGTAATAACTCGACAACCACCAAGATCACAAATTTAACACCAGGTGCAGAATATTCTTTTGTCATTCTGGCCTACAATGTGCATGGCCACTCAAACTACAGTTACCCGCCCATCAAGGTCACTTTGCTCGGTAAGTAACTGGTAGAACTTAAGAACATAAGAATGGAGGAAACTGCAGCGGGCCTTTTGGCCCATAACGGGCAGTCCCGTTTTTACCCAACCCCTATCGCTCATATATCCATCCAACCTACTGTATGTTTGAAGCTATCCAGCATATTCGAGCTAATGATGATGTTTGGCAACTTGTTCCACTCATCCACTACTCTATTTTCAAACCAATGTTTACCTATCTCGTGCCAAAATCTAAATTTGTCTAATTTAAAACCATTGTTATGAGTTCGCTCCTGGTTGGATAGTTTGAGTACCTTTGTTATATGACCTTTGTTTAGCCTTTACTTCCATTTATACACCTTGATCATATCGCCCCTCACTCTATGTCTCTCGATGGAGTGCAAATTAAGATGCTTTAACCTGTCTCTGTACTCGAGGTTCCTAATGCCCGGGATTAGTCTTGTCATTCTCCTCTGAATTCTTTCTAGGGATTCTATATCCATTCTGTAGTACGGTGACCAGAATTGAACTGCGTAATCCAAGTGAGGTCTCACAAGCGCAAAGTATAGTTTTAGGATGACCTCGCTAGTCTTGTAACTAACACTCCTTTGTATAAACCCAAGTACAGTACTTTGTCAACCTTGTTTCTAGCAAATACACATTGTTGACTTGGCTTAAAATTCCTACTTATCAGTGCTTTTAAATCTTTCGCAGTCAGATTTTTCTATAATATCGTTGTTCATCTGATATCTGGTTTCTCTGTTTACATCTCCTTGACCAAGTACTCTGTTCTTTACATTTGTCCACATTAAATTCCGTCTGCCATTTTTCAGACAATGCAAAAAATATCTTTAAATCTTCCTGTAGTTGTGTGGAGTCCTCGTCAGATTTAATTGCACTCTCTATTTTAGTGTCATCAGCAAATTTACTTATGTTGCTGTCTGTACCTATATCTATGTCATTTATGTATATTATAAATGCTGTTGTAATGGTTCAAGTATCGAGCCTTGGGGCACTCCACTAGCAACATTACCCCAATCGGATTTAGTGCCGTTAATGCTTACTTGTTGTTTCCTGTGTTTGACTATGCACAATTTCCTTTTGAATAGTAATATCTCCATTAGCCAAAATCCTTCTTTACCAGAACTCTCCAATAGCTGGAATTGAAATTTGTTCGGTTTTCCGGAAAATTCCGTGAATGGGGGATTTTTTCCCGGGTTTGAGAGCTGAAGATGAGGCGCATTTTCTGGTTATGACTTCACATTAATTGCTTCCAACACATCCATATACACATGAGAAACAAGGCATTTAACCTGGGTTTATATAAAAATGATCTAGGCAGGTCTTTCAGTTTTTATAAATCTGCACTGCTATACAGTACAGGTACTTGTACTTCATATTGACTTGAGTAACCGTTAGCTAAATACAGACTTGATCTGTCAAAAAAATCTTGATCATTCATGAAAGATAGATCTTGTCATTTTTATCCCAGACTTGATGTGTTGCACCATTATGAATAACCATGAGTGGTGATTCTTATAATGCTCTACTATTGGGTGATGACAGGTATTGTTCATCTTTGAAACTTGCCATACTGCATCACCATAAACATATTTAATGATGGATTGTTCACCTGTGTGTCCTCAGGCTTGGTGGAGGAAGTTGCCAGCAGCAGTAGTGTGGAGGGTCAGCAGCCCAGAATGCCTCTCCTCATCCTGCTTCTCATCTCCCTCACTGCAACAGCTCTTCTAGTCCTCAATGTTGCAATAATTGTCTGCTTTGTCAGAAGACGGGCCATGAAAAGAAACATATCTGGTAATGAAAGATTCCTTTACTCTCCTGTGGTGTACATGTGAGCAGTGCAAAAGTAAAAGTGTAGGTGGTCATGGGTGTGGGGGGGGGGCTAGTATTAGGTAATTAAGGAGGTATCTTATACAGTGGTGGCCCTAATTAGTTGGAGATAATTTAGTACACCTTGGGGACTGGGTCATTGGCATCAGAGAAGGACTTGCTATTCTGATGTCTACATACGGTATCTAAGGTTTGAGTATCACAAGTGAAAGTCACAGCAGAAGCAAACAGCATGCTAGATCTTGTACACCAAACCCTACATCACCTACAGGTATATGAATTATGTGCCATATCCCTACAAAGAATGTTTATGCATCAACACTTGGAGTACAGTATCAAGGCAAGAAGGTTCTTGAAACTTGTTCTGAGGCATGCCAGTAGGCTGGGTCTGCATGTTGCTGTATCCACACTACACTACTCCTAAATGACCATCAGGCCTGTAGGATCATCTGTAATTTCTGTATTAGGGGGGAAGATTATTACCATAGTACAGTACAGTATTACATATACAGTATACAGTATGATGCAACTTATAATAATCAAAATGCAGTACTGTACTGTAATCATTTTTTATTGACTTGTTTTAACATTATCATATCCATGAGTTTCATACGACTTGAATGTCAATAAGATTTTGTTATTATTTAATGCCTTCTTCCTCAGATGTTAAATTCTGATTACATTTTTGCACCATAATATTTACATTTCTTAACTCTAGTCTTCCTCAGTTGTTAAATTTCAGCTTAAACACTTCAATATATTTCTTAATGCCAATCCTGATGTTTAATCATATTTTCTTTTCCATGGTGTATCAAAGCTTCTTCAAGCAAAACAACTGCCTTAGAAATTTACACCCCAACTTCTGGAGCAGCTGCCAGTGGAGATGAGCTGCCATTAACTTCATTTAGTGACATTCCACCTCCAGAGTACCAGGTGAGGCCAGCAAATCTTTACACTGAACTTTGTGTTTATATTGTAGTTTATCATCCCCTGCATGCAATATAATGTACAGGGAATCCCTGCTTGTTGTCATAAATGAGTTCTTGAAAAGTGCAACTTCAAACAAATCGATACAAAACTAATAAAATTATCCCATAAGAAATAATGTAAATACAAGGGTTCATAAGATAAAAGATGGGAAAAAAATGGTCAAGATTGCTTGTATCCTGCCTTAGCTTTATCACAGCCAGACTTTGAGGTACAGTATGTTGTCCCTCCACACTGAGAGAAGTGTCCCATATTCTTCATTAACTAACTCAACAACCTGGGAATTTTTGTAACACTAAAAGGTACAACACATTGAGCACTGTCCCTAATCACAGTACACGGCAAACACAGGCCAACGTGGAAGACTTATAAGTATATAATTTACTTGTGGAAAGTTGAAATAATGAGAATGAAAAAGAGAGACGGCCAAGGAGGTGAAGTGATAAAACAATGTTGGGGCTTTGCTGCCGTGACCAGAGGAGAACTTTTGGAGGAATGGAGTGTCATAGATAAGAAAGTTAACATGATAGCGTGGTGTTTACTGTAATCCAGATACCGGTACATGTAGTATGTTCCTTGAATTTTAGTTAATAGAATATGTACTGTACTGTATTGTACTATAATTTATACAGGTAAAGAAAGGTGATTGAATAAGTTGTCGTATACAATAACTAATAGAAATAAACTCTTGTAAATATTGTATTTATTATTAAATAGTATTGGCCAGAGTATAGAAATTTCTGTCTTCACTCTTTAAATTTTACTCAGAATCTTAAGTGTTTCTACATGTTGTTTAGCATTTCGTTTCTCCTTTCTTCACTTGTTTTGCATCACTTAACAATTTTCCCTTTGTTTTGAGGCTTATGTACTCCTTAATATGCCCCACATCCAAGTGAGAAAGGAATAAAGATGAGTAGATAGATTGATATATTAAATTATTAAGTTACTGTATTTATTTTTTCAGTCTCTTGATTGTCAAACGAGGGAGGACGACTGTGAACAGACTAGTCTTATCAGTCCACACATCAATGTGGAGCCGCCAGAACCACTCGTTACGACACCAACCATTGGAACAAGTCCTAGATCTGGAAGTACAAGTCCCTTACTCAATGGGGGGATCAGTGTGCAGAATAATGATACACTGCTTGAAAATACTAAACTATCTCCGACTGATACGGTAACCAATTTGACTCCTGGTAGCCCTTCAAAACAAGAAAGAAAGATGTCTAAAGATTCTATTACTCCAGTTCATTCGTCAAATACTCCAGATGTTTGTCCAGTGACGACCAGTAGTTGTGAACCTTTACTCCAGCAACAAGAATCCTTTAATACGTATTCAGAAGATGATCAGGGGTCTCTGTCGTCCCACCATAGTAACAGCTCGTATGGTTTTGAATCGGGACAGCTACGCCCGAAGCTGTACTCCTCGTACCAACCAAGACTGACCACTCAAGTTATATATCATGGTCAACCACACATACAGCAACAGTTAGAGCAGCAACAACAACAACAACAACAGCAGCACTATCAACAAAGCTTGCCATGTTGTCAACAAATCTCACCATCAATGAAAGACAAGCAGTTACTTAATCCTATTTCATCCTTACATTCACATCTGAATCCTTCTAGACTTTCAACGTCCACTTCAAGTTGTTGTGATGCCACTTGCAGACAGTCTTATGTCACAGGTTATGAACTACTTGTGTTTCTTATGATGTTTGGGCAGATATTCACGTTGTTTAGTGGAGTTTTTCAAAGGTTCTTTGCCACACTTGTGCATGGACTTATGTACACCTACATGTATGTGGAGGGGTATAGTTATGAATATGGAGGGGATGGGAATGAGCTGATCAGTGGCAAGGAGGATAAAAGTCATTGTATATTTTTTAATGGGAATTATTTTCTTTGCACCATTTACTTAAATTCAAGAATTTTGAATTGATAATTTGGACTTGACCAAATGAACTTAAACATAAAACAATAATCGGTGACCTGTGCTGAGCAGCTTGTGTATACACACACAGTTACACACCATACCAACTGGGTCCTGGCCGAGGTAGGCCTAAGCAGTGGTTACTGGAATACCATACTGATCATGAAGTACTGTACTTCAGAATCCTTCCCTTAAAAAGGGAAATTCAGTAGAGAAAGTTTGTAATATGAAGGTTTTTGCTCTACTCAGCTCCCAAGTTTTTTCACCTTCAAATATTTTGTACATTAAACATTTTTACTTTTTGGAAACTTTGGAATAGTTGCACAAATGCTGAAAGCATCTAGCAATGTAGGTGTGTCAATGGTGACCAAATTGACTGTACTGTTATGTAATCATGATGGAATGTACAGTACTGTACTGGTAGATGACTGGATGAAGAGTGTGATTGTGAATACGCTACAGTACTGAACTCACAACGGTAAACATGGGAACTACGGGGGCCTGAAGCTGCTAGATCAGGTTATTAAAGTTGTGGAATGAATGATTCAGAAATTGATAAGCGAGAGAGTAAATTTAAACAAAATGTTGTTTGGATTTATGCCAGGTTGAGTGACTACAGAGGTAATATTTATGGCCAGGCAGCTTCAAGAGAAATACTGTATTTAGGGAAGGGGAGAAAATTTTACTTCGTATTTGTACACTTAAGGAAGACATTTGACAGGGTACCACCTGAAGTAGTAAAGTGAGCAATGAGAAAGCTAGAAATCGAGGAATACCTTGTTCGAGTGCAAGTAGGTTCATCAGGAGTCTGTCTTATGCCTTACTGCTGATAGCTGATAGTATTGATGAGGCAGTGGAGAAGTGAAAGAAACAGAAGGATGGAATAGAGTCAAAGGGCCTGAGAGTAAAGGTGACAGAAACCACAGTGCAATATTGGTGAGGGACCTGAGGTGAAGAGTGAAAAGTGGCCCTGGCCTGAGGACGGTGTACATTTAATGTACTGTGTTACTGCCGTACTGTACTTTCTTTTATTTAGTTTCACTTTTCCTGAAACCTTTTTGTATTTCTTCACCAGTCTTGACTTAAGAGTTGAGTAGAATCACAAGTTTTTTTCTGATTTTCAAGGGTTTTGGAAGTCTTTTAAATGGTGTACCTTAATTTAGATTTAATGATGGGTTGCCATTGGAGGGGTTTTCTGATACCACCTCCTTCCAGTTCCTGTCTAGTTTTAGAGATACAAGTTATCTGGCACAAGGCATATGGCTTTTTAGGCCAGGACTTGATCAATGGGGTGTGTAACTTTACAGGAGCAGCCTGGCTGTGGGCTTAGTTATGAAGGAGGATTTCAGGATCAATTTTCAGTTTTTAAGGTCACCTTCCTACCACTGATGTTCTCTTATTTGTCATTATTCATCCTACAACACCAGGTGATGACTTACTACACTTTCTGGAATGCCCCATTTACTCTCTTTTTGCTGTTTTCCCTTTCTCTTTTATTGTTCCCCCTTTATTTAACTGCATTCTGCTTGTGCATGCATGCAGAAGCATGTCTTATCCTATCACATGTAGTGTTCCAGTTGTCAGTACTGTACTGATAACTTCTTCTTAAGGGGATGGCCTGACTTAGAATCCTCTCCCTACATTTCAGTCACTGACCAAGTTATAGAGTTGGCCAGTGAGTGAAATTTAAACAGATAGGTCATGGAGCCATCCCCTCAAGATGGAGTCCCCAGAGAAACAAATTATCAGAGAAGTGGATACATGAAGCAGATTGATGTCAAGGTTTGCTTGTTTATCCAATTAATGATTTTCTTTCTTAAGTGTAGTAGTACAGGTACAAGGAGAGATTTCCATAATAACTTTGATTTTAAATTTATTTAATTTATCTTGCTCAAATGTTTTACACTGCATATACTATATCATATTTCAGTATTGATAAAGTGATGTAGTACTGTACAGTAGTTTAAAACTAAGCTTGATACATTTTTCTCTTTAGAAATTTGTTCAAAAGCATATTACAGTGAGAATTTCAATAACAAAAGTACTGTGCAGTGCTCTTACACTTTCATATACCCGGTAATGATTAAATTTATGCTTATATATACTGTACTGTATTACAGATACGCCAGTGGGGTATGCCACCTTACAGCCTCGGAGAAGTTGTCTGAAAGCTTCACAGTGCAACACTCTACAACGTTCTCACTCAGACCACAACTACACCTACAATAGCCTGCAGTGTGTGTATCACAATCCCGTTATGGAACTTAATCCGGATATTTGTTGCCAGAACAGCTTTTGCAGCAACCCTCAACTCTGTACTCAACAAAGTCAAAGAAGTCATTATGAGAGAGCACAAGAATTTCCCATTTACTTGGCGAAGTCGAGACCTGTTGATAGAGGATGTACCAGACACAACAGTGATAGTGGACATTGTACATATAGGAATACTCCTCCCTATGAACCAAAGCATTCCACAGTACCACCTGACTTATGTAAAGTAGAACCATCCAGCGCAAAAAGAGTCGGGTGGAAGGAAATAGTCCCCGACAGTCCTGGAAGAGGGACACTAGCTTCCCGTGGTTCAACCGATACTTCAACATCATCGACTACCTCTACTGTAACCTTGGGTCCAGCAAGATATCCACAACATCAACACTGCAGAAATAACAGTGAACGAAATTTAGGCATGGAAACCAGGGATAAAATTAGATAAAACAAAACACAACCAGAAAATGAAGAAAATACGAGTGACACAAGGTGGAGGTTTAGTGCAACAGTGATGTTACATAAGTTACCTAACAGACAATACTTGCTCAAAGTGCTACTTATTATGAGATTATTTTGTGTGCATGTAGTTGCTGTGCAGTTAAATTTTCTGTCCTGTGTGTTGTCAATTTAAGAAAACTCGTGAAGATGCAACGTGAGTGAAGGGGAAGAGGCTCATTTTATGGTTCACTTGTAAAATGTGAACATTCAAAGCTGTTTAATATGATTTTCTTACCTTTCCTAACTCCGTGAACCACAGGCCAAAGTTACTATGTAATTTTGTGTGTTCAGTATTCATTTGGACGTCTATTGTAGTCTCTGTCATATACCCATTGCTTTCAGTCTATCCTCCTGTTTAACTTTGTTTTCTCTGTCTCCTCTCTTCATTTTTGTCATCTCATCTCTTCCAATTATTATTCTTGGTCTCTTGTCCCTTCCTTCATCTCTCATCCAGTCTGAAAATCAGTTATTCTCATCACCAGTCCTTACCATATGTCTCTGCCATCTCAAAACTCCACCTCATTATCAGTTACTACATCAATGTTTCTCATTTCAGTTGCCAGTCTCTGCTTGATGTTCAGATCTTCCATTTTGTATCATTTTCCAGTTATTTTTATGGTACAGTGTACAGTGCTCAAGTTTACTCTAAAACAGTAAGGTAGGTAATGATGCACTGTATCTCCAAGAAATATATACACCCATTTTTGCATGACAATGGGGGATCATGTAAAAATGGGATATATTGTAGCATGGCAAAGGACTACTAACACCTTGCCAATTAATATTTAGTTTTTCATTAAGTGAAAGTAATCAGTGTAGTACTGTATGGATATTTGTCTTCAGTAATGTATTGGTAATTAATATTTTGTTTCTCATCTAGTAGGTGGTGTAGCACTGTACTGTACTTCTCTTTAACAAGTTATACAATGTTGGAAAAAATTAAATTTGGTAGAGAAAAACAAGGAAAATCTTAAGCACCTGCATGGTAAGGTTTACTGAAGGTTGCAGCCTTACACTGTCCAAGATCCTTTGCATCTATGCTGTGCTACTGCTCACATTACCAAGCTTACCATACTTTGTTGTACGTTTCATCATCACAATGACATGTTCATATCTCACCTCTTTGTGAATTATATAAACTAGAATAATAAAGAAGAAATAAGGTAACACATTACATGCAAATTAACATTCATGGTGTACTCATAACTGTTTTCCTTAAATATATATAAAGAATAAATTTTTATAAAACACAATGCTCTTATTTCTCAGAACTGTATTGTCTTTGGTACATAAAGCAGATAGTTGACAGCAGGAACTGTTACCATAGGACAAAAAATCATGATAATAAAGAGTAATAGCATAGAATAGCACTGAAAAGGATGAAAGTGACACTACCGGGTAACTGTATATGATAAGATATGAGACAAATCAGTTGTAGCACTAATCAAACATTTGAAAGTAGATGAGTGAAGATTATTGTGAGAGCAAAGTTCTTTTCTTACTTCCTTTTATACTTTTTCTTGTGTATGTACAGGGTGTCCTTGTTTCAGGTGAGGGAATCATTAAATCGATGAGATTCTGTGAAGAGGATATGTCAAATGGCCACCGAGGTCTCTGGACTTCACACCTCTTGGTTTCTTCCTCCGAGGTCACCTAAATATTGTTGTCTACCAAGATAATCCAAGAAACGTTTAGGGGACCCCAGAGAGGCGTGATGTCTGGAGACTTCGGTAGCCGTTCGATTGGTCCTCGTCCCCTAATCTTCGTTGCTTTGTTATGATTCCTTCACCTGGAAAAATGAGAAGAACATTTTGTTTTCTATAGTACAGGTATACATCTTATAACACCCTGTAGGTGAAAAGTACTTTCTCTCTCAGCAGTAACTGAACTCAGAACATTAATTAACCCAACAAGTAGAGAAAGCAGTAAAGGTATTAATATGGTGATGGGTTGTGTTTACTAAAGACCTACAGTAGTCATACATACACTAGTACAGTACAGTACGAATTATCAATCTGACTTACATTTGATACATTGAATTAATCTTATGCCATTTTTTCTTTAATAAAAGCTAAGAGTAAAGTCAGATGTGCGTGGTGCTGTACCATTGATAATACTGTATACAGTACTGTAATAGTTGTATGTACGGTAAACCCTCCATAACTCGGTATTTGATAGCTCGAAATATCATATAACTCAGCGTGGATATGGTCTCGGAATGTATTGGTATAACTCAGGAAATGCCGTGATACCTGTATGTAAAATTATCTGGGAAAATCTCGTCATTTCTGGCTACCTGCATCACCTACCATGCATGTGTCACCTACTATGATGGTTCATTCTTCACCTGTAGTGCTGGTAAGTGTTACTTTTTCACAGTTAGTAATTACATATACACATATGTGGGTCAATAAGTTGTACAAGGTAGTAGGCAGCTACCAAACAGGGAGGTACTGCTGCCTGGGAAGATATTGGAAGCATAATGTGTTGTCTACCGGTAGACCCTGCTGCTATATGACATCACAAAAATTTTGATCAAGTCCCAGGTTGCTGATCTGACTTTCTGCCTCATTTTATACACAATTGCAGGGTCTCAATTATTTCTCTTACTATTGACAACACAACGTATATACTGTACTCTATCGTTTCTCACTCTTGATTTATTTAAAAAAAAATTATTTTTGGTTATTATTATTATTATTATTATTGTTATTAATTTTTAGTAATTATTATTATTATTATTATTATTATTATTATTATTATTATTATTATTATTATTATTATAATAAAAATAATATTTTTGCCCCCAGGCCTTGATGTGGGTCACTGACCTGTGCCCGGGTTGGCTAATGCTCGTAAAAAAAAGAAAAGAAAAGTAAAACTAATTCCTTTACAACACTTTTTTAACGATGTAAAACAAGAGACATACAGTACTGTACTTAGATGTACGGGGCAGGTATTAGAAGAAGCAGCTGAAGAGAGTCTAGAGATATGATATATCCTTGGGTCAGGTTGCACTACCTTGGCTGGGGTTTTGATCAGAACTGACCTTCTGCCACAGCCTCCAGAGTAGTTGAGGATGGTGGGGGGTTCTGGATTTAGGCGGGAATACCTTAACTACGTTAACCACCGTATCACTGCAGGTGTTTAAGCTCTTTCATTTATATTTTTGTTCTATAAAAATTCACTACAAGTATTTATCACTTTTTAACTTTTCACTTTAGAGATAAATGAATGAATGTGGTTTTACTGGGATCAAACAGGTGCAACAACCATCAGCTGGGTTATTTTCATCAGTGAGTTCTGATATGATAATCGTTTCTTGTGTAATTGCTTTGTTTGGTAGATAATTAGGCGCCTCGGCGTGCACTACTCCGTCTTCTCGGCGGTAGTGACGTCTCATCCCACGATGTATAAACAGCCAGTCATATATGTAGAGGTATTTCAAAACACTCCACCGCCCGGGCTGGCTCATTACGGACGGCTGCTCTTACATCCACAAAAAAAATTAAAATTACACCATTTCATAGTAAGTTGTTTAATATACTGGGGAGCCCCGGGCTAGGAAATTAACTTTTACTTTACTTTTTACTGATCGGCTCGTTAGCTGCTTGGGCAGTCGGTCTCATCTCTTATACACACTGTTGGCAGATACTGGGCATGTACTGGCGCCTGAACATATCAGAACCTGCTCCAGTGTTGCCCAAGTCTGGCCTTCAAAGAGCTCACACCCGGTGCCGTCGCAACATTCTCTGGCAGATTGTTCCGAGAGTTCACAATTCTCACTCCGAAAAAATTTGCCTTCGCGGTTTTCTGGAGTTGCGGCTTCTTCAACCTTGAGCCGTGACCACTTCTTGGGCGGACGTCCGCTAACTCCGGGTATGTACATTCGACCGAGTAGTGCCCCCTGAGATGTTTATACACTTCAATTAGGTCGCCCCTCACCCGTCTGCAGTATAAGCTAGGTAGTTGTAGGTGCTCCAATCTCTGTGGGTAACTGACGTTCTGTGGAGCAGGCACCTGTCTGGTGGCCCTCCTTTGGACATTTTCAACCAACTGACAGTCCCTAGCATATCTCGGGGACCAGACGGGGTGACAGTACTCCAGATGGGGAAGCACTTCACTTCTGAAGATCGTTACGAGGGACGGACCGTCTAGATATCTGAACGACCTTCTTATAAGACCCAATAATTTATTTGCCTGATTTACCTTCTTCTCACAATGGCCCGAGAACTTCAGCTCATTGTCAACATACAACTAGATCCTTCTCACACACAGTCTCAACTAGTGCATTTTCTTCATCCCGTTGGGACATATGATACGCCTCCTTACCGTTGGTACGCCCCAGGTGTATCCTCGTACACTTCGTGACATGGAATCTCAGCAGCCATTTCTTCGACCATTCCTGGAGCCCACAGAGGTCCTTCTGCAGCTCTTCACAGTCCGCTTGGTTCTTAATTTCCCGAAATAACTTGCCATCATCGGCAAACATTTGTATGGAGGAGTGTACAACGTCAGGCATGTCATTTATGAAACAAACAACAGCGGGCCCAATACACTGCCCTGTGGTACCCCACTTGTTACAGGTACGGATGACGAT